GGTGCCCCCACATCAGCACCAGGAGATGGCAGCCCTGCCGACTCACAAAACCCTGCCGTGAGGCTCTTTATCTCCACAGAGCTGTGCCTCGCCACCGGTTCTGTGAGCAGAAAGCTCTTAACTCCCTGTACTTACCCATCGCAGGGTCATCAGCAGGTTGGCGTAGGAGAAGAGAATCAGGCTGAGGGGGATCACGAAGCAGGTGACAAACAAGGCCAAAATGTAGCTGTTGTTGTTGCTGCCACCCGTGTACCAGTTGGGTCCGCAGGAGGTTCTCAGCCCTGGAACAAGTATTGAAACAAACCTAAAACAACCCTGGGCTGGGGTAAGGGCTCAGGAACAGCCTCCAGAATAAGCGATGCTGGCGCTGGCCCCTCTGAGCCTCACTGACCATCTTCTCCATCCCCAGTGACCTGGGCATCCATCACTGCAGCCTTGGCTGCTGCCTGGTGAGTTGCCGGGGTGTGCAGTGTTACACTAAGCCTGTACAGAAGGAGATTTGGGTTGGGTGAGGGCCGGGTGCTGCTCGGTTTGCTCCAGAGCAGCTCTGGTGTCCATCACACGTGTAAGAACGGCCTCGGCGTGTCCTGCAGCGGGGTCACTTCTGAAAAGAAACCTCCAAGAGAGGATCATCCTCGAGATTCCTTCCTACCCAAACCATTCTATGATTATTGACTGAGCAAGCAGGAGGTGTTAACATTTTAAATACCATCACAGATACTTTCCAACTACCCTGCTGCAAGAAAGACAATGCTGTGGAGTCCGAAGCATGTCTCCCTTACCTTCAGGCACGTAGCTGCTCCAGCCCAGGAGCGGTGGGGTCGTCCAGAGCAGTGACCAGCTCCACGTGAAGGCGCAGCCACTGACGGCGTGCCGGTGCTGGAACCGAAAGTCTCCCAGGGGTCTGCAGACCACCAGGTACCGCTCGAGGGCCAGGATGGCCAGGGACCACAGCCCCACGATGCCTGAGGAGAGAAGGAGGGTTGGTGTCTCAGGAATAGGCTCTGCTACTGCTCTGCTGCCCGCGCTGGAGCCTGGTAGGTGACGAGAGCTGTGGAAGTAAATATTGTGACACAAGTTCAGATGTTTTGCTTCTGGCTGGGATAGTGGTGGGGACTTGTGGCCCTTAGAAGTGAGGTTTGCAGTCGGTTGCCTGGGACACAGCGTGGTTACCACCGCTGTTTCTCCCCTGGAGAATCCCTGACTGAAGGTTTTGTGCAGTTTCATGTTTCTGGTGCCCACACAGTCTCCCGTGTGCTGCCACAGCAGCCATAAAGCACATCCTGATGTGCCCAGGTGACATTTCCTGCCCGATGAAGGCCGTGTGGCCTGGCACAGCTCTGCTTGACTTGTCTCCGTGCTAAACAGCGGAAGGACGCAAGTTTTACATCATGTATGAAAGCGTTGGCTTTCGGCAAAAAAAGGTGATGAAATGTCCCCAAAGCTTCTTTGCTGAGCGTGCTGGCACCAACCCCAGCCCGAGACAGGGCTCAAGGTCCGTGTCCTTACCTGTGAGGGAGACCATGAAGCCCTCCAGCTCACACATCCGTTTGCCGCACACGCAGAAT